AAAGAAAGAAAGAAAGAAAGAAAGAAAGAAAGAAAGAAAGAAAGAAAACCAAAATGTGTTTAAAAAGCCTGAATCTGCCTTTGTAGTTAAATCCAACTGATCAGATCCATTCCCATGACCCAAAAAGAAGACAGTTTATGTGGGTGGTGGAATGCTAGTCAAATTTACAGTCACATGAGCAAGAGATAAGTGTTAAAATGGTTTAAGTTTTAACAGTCATATCCAGTGAAATCCCCTGCATATCTCTGATCTTTCTTGCTTTACTGCAGTAAAGGGATTTGCAGCTGGGTGCCACTGTTCTCATTACCTGTCCATGGTGCTGATATGCTTTCCACTGGCGTTAACCCTACCAAAATAGCCATGGTCACAGATATACACAGGCAAACAGCTTCAATCATGCTTACAACAACAACAATAGTAATAATAATAATAACGATTATTCTGAAAATAATAACAATGACATATTCTGTGCACAGAAAAACATTTTTAATTTGGCTACTCTAGAATAAAATATTTCTGTCATTTAATAATTAAATTAAATAACCTGTAACTGACCCTTTCCAAAGCATGTGTAAGCAACTCTGAAAAAAAACTGCTTTTGATCTGGACAGGCAGCATACAAAGACATTGAATCAATAATTCCACAAATTTTTATTGTAACTGGGATAAAGGCCATCCACAGTTTTATGCTGTGGTTGTTAGGTAAAGCCTTTGACACTGCCTCGCAAATTTCTGGCATGTCCAAACATCTGTCCGTTATCATTTTTAGACCAGCATCAAGTCAGCCAGAGGGAGATACAGGGACAAAGGAAATGGTGGGGATCTGACTCTCAAATAAAAGGACAGGAAATATATATATTTCTTGCAGTTAAACACAAAATGTATGTATGTAGGCTAGAATTATTTGAATGTTGAATTTATTCACACAATCCACTTGCAAGATGATAATAAAAAATATAAAGGCAGAGACTTCCTTCTAACGCAGCCACCATTATCTCTATTCAAATGTACAAGGAGAGGATAGCATAAAAGAAAACAAATAAACAAAAGGATGATTTTTTAAAGGTAATTTGAGTTAACCACCAAATACATCAAAACATGTACAATACAATTATGTGGATCTTTTTGTTATGATAGCCTACTAGCCTACTCTAGTCGTTGTTCACAGGATTTGATTATTTCAGCTGGTGCTAGTGTTATGTGACTAGTGAATAACTCTGACTGATTTGTTAGGCGCGTTAATGGGACATAAAATGTAATTGTCAATATATTTTTCTGAAAGGTAAGTCGGATGCTGCAGCTTTATTTTTAAGTCAATTCTGGAGAAGTGAACCAGTAAACTAGCTGGCCTGTTTCAATCGAACTGGCTTCGAAATTAAGGTAAATCCTTTCTCTGACTGCTCCCCCTCCCTTGAAATTGTACGATAGCTACAAGAGACACACAAGAGACAGACTCTATATTTCACCCACCCGACATTTTTGTTACATATTCACTTCCGGCAGCGGTCGACAAAGCCGGCGGCGAAATAAACAGTGTTTCCCCTACGACCGGGTAACGTTTAAAAAGATATTTCCATACATGGATGAGGATACCTTTCGAAATAAATGTTACATATTTTTCTGCAATTGAATTCAAGGGTGTTATGCATAAGTAAGATGACTGACGCTGTGGACCGCCAGATGGGACACGTGTAAAATATTCGATCTTTTAAATCCTCAGGTTGGAGGGTTAACAACAATGTTGGCGATTGCTCGTTTTGGAAAATGACTTTTGGAAGCATCGACGATAAAATAATGGTTAGAAGATGCCTTGTAACGTTCAGACCTTTCAGGTAAGAGACAAAGACCCCTATTTTTTCCTTAAGTTGTCAGCAGTGATTTTGTGTGAGGTCTTCGCCTGTATGTTCAGCAGACATCATAGCCATGTCCCAAAAAAGAAGAACAAGTCATTTGAATTAGGCCTGCATATTCAAAGTAGGAGTTTCTGCATGAAAGGTGTTTAAACATTAAGTATAACTGTACGTCTGGCAAGATGAATGACAAGCCCACATTTCCATATGGATAGAGAGACTATGGCCGTAAATCTTTAAAAGAAAATCTCTAAAGCCCATACTGCATGGCAATTGAGCTCTAACTTTCTCACTGCATTAATAGCTTCATTATTACTGTGTGACTATGCTTAACATACTTTCCATAGCACACAGGGTATAGGCTACTTTGGAAACTGGAGAGGATTTAGTTAACTTAGTAAACACTTTTTGCTTTGAAATCATACTGTTATTTAAGTCAGTGTGTATAGGAAGCCTGTTAGTAGATAGCACATCAGACTGATCCAATTAAAAGCAGCAGCATTTACTTTCAGCCTCTTAATTAGAGACTCGTCAGGCAGGACCATGCGTTATCCTTTCATATCACCTATCTCACAGCTGTTTGAAAAATGCTTAAATAATATGAGAGGAGGTGATTGTCATTGGACAGCCTCACACAATATTATTCACTCCCAAATAAGCTGATTTCCCTCTGCCGTTCTCAGATGCTTACAAACAACGCTGCCTTTGCCATTTTCTCAAATGTGTTTAATAAAAAGAATAGATAGAACTTTTTTACATAACTGTCCTTTGATCATGGCCCTAGATTGTTGCTTACTATCTCATGATAGTAATGATGTGAAAGAGAATTGAATTAGATTATTAAATGCACAACTTTTAACTTCAAATACACACTCTAACACATCCAACCACACACCTGCAACAAATGGAGAGAATGTTTAGAATATTATATTAACATTTTTATATCTTTATTAAATATTGTAGTTTTCTTGGTGAGAGAAAGAGTTGAATGAGAACTTACTGATTTATGCAACCTGATGACATACTAGTGCTTTAATATAAATTACATGAGCAAGTTTTTCCCATATATTTTGTGTTAACAAAAACATGCTCCACACAGAAGCTATTACTGACATTAGTACCTTTTTTAATCACTCTGTGCCATTTTGATGGTTGCACCAATATTATTATAATTATTATTATTATTATTATTATTATTATTATTATTATTATTATTAT